AATGCAGATTACCAGCTCTCCTCTCCTCTCCTCTGTCAGCATGACAGCTCGAGAGGAGAGAAATGTAGATAACCGGCATTTCCCTATTTACATGTGATCAGCTGTGATTGGACACAGCTGATCACATGACAGGGCCGATATCTTCGGCTCTTTCCGTTGATTGATCGCCGTGCTGTGCGCCCCTGGAGCCGCGCGCACACGATTATAGTGGGAGGACGTCACATATAAAGTCCTCCTAGAATGAGGGAACCACCTTGCGCCCATCATTACCTTGTATCCAGCTCTAGGCACACAGCGAGAGGAACATGGATGTCGTTCCTCCCACTGTGTGATGTCAGAAATGAGGATTTTGTCACTTCCTGTTTCGGTCCCTTGTTTACCTGGCCGTTACCCGCAAAGGAAGCATCCGATCAGACCGATCTATGTCTGATTGGCTGCACTGGAGGCCAAAGGAGAGATGGGGAGTCTAATAGAGCCCCCATCTCTACATATAGAGGACCTGTCACAGCCCATGCTATTATAGCTCCACAACATCTCCAGAATACGCCCCCTTTTTAACCAATGATACCATAAAGCTCCTAATTCACTCCCTGGTCAACTCTCACCTTGACTACTGCAACTCCCTCCTCATTGGCTTACCTTTACATAGGCCACTCCCCCTCAAGTCCATCATGAATACTGCTGTCAGACTCATCCACCTTACCAACCGTTCAGTGTCTGCTACCCCTCTCTGCCAATCCCTCCAATGACCTCCACCCCTCTCTGACAATCCCTCCACTGACCTCCACCCCTCTCTGACAATCCCTCCACTGACCTCCACCCCTCTCTGCCAATCCCTCCACTCAGTGTCCTCCACCCCTCTCTGCCAATCCCTCCACTCAGTGTCCTCCACCCCTCTCTGCCAATCCCTCCACTCAGTGTCCTCCACCCCTCTCTGCCAATCCCTCCACTGGCTTCCATTCAGTGCCCTCCACCCCTCTCTGCCAATCCCTCCACTGACCTCCACTCAGTTTCCTCCACCCCCTCTCTGCCAATCCCTCCACTGGTCTCCACTCAGTGTCCTCCACCACTCTCTGCCAATCCCTCCTCACTGGTCTCCACTCAGTGTCCTCCACCCCTCTCTGCCAATCCCTCCACTGACCTCCACTCAGTGTCCTCCACCCCTCTCTGCCAATCCCTCCACTAGCCTCCATTCAGTGCCCTCCACCCCTCTCTGCCAATCCCTCCACTGGCCTTCACTCAGTGTTCTCCATCCCTCCCTGCCAATCCCTCCACTAGCCTCCACTCAGAGTCCTCCACCCTTCTCTGCCAATCCCTCCACTGGCTTCCACTCAATGAATAAAATTCAAAATAATAACAACAACTTACAAAGCCATCCACAACTCTGCCCCCAGCTACATCACCAACCTGGTCTCAAAATATCAACCAAACCGCTCTCTTCGATCCTCCCAAGACCTCCTGCTCTCTAGTTCCCGTGTCACCTCCTCCCATGCTCGCCTCCAGGGCGTCTGCCATCCTATGGAACTCCCTACTCCAATCTGTCCGACTGTCTCCTAATCTATCCACCTTTAGACAATCCCTGAAAACTTTTCTCTTTAACCTCCCTGGCGGTATGATTATTTCAGATTTTTGGTGCTGAAAGCGGTACCATTATTTTGCATGGAAATTTGGCATTTTATACTGTAGGCCTGTAATTTTTAGGAATAACTCACTGAAATCTGTCCAAACAAGAGTCTAGTAAACATCCCGGATATGATAAACCTTGAAACACGAAATCATAAATTAATAAATAATCATAAAAAATATAATAATATAATAATAAATTTAATTCAATAATATAATCAAACCAAAAAACACTGAAAGTTGGCACATCGCTGAGCTCAGTCGCAGAATTGTTTTCAGTGTCTGATGAGGAATTTCCCCCCACCAATCATTATCACTCAATTCTGCAAGTGGTTCTGATTTACTATCGCTGTTCTCTAGTCGGTCTAAAACCGCGTCTGACCTAAAGGGACGCTTTTTGGACGCCATGGACGTTTCTCAGTTTCCAGGCAGAAAGAACAGTAAAAATGCAGGCAGGGCGCCGGACAAAGCACTCGGGACAAAATGTATGTGAAATGGTTTGATACAGGAATGGAATACTATGTAATATTCGTTTAGTAGAAAATGACAGTTTCTAAAATTGTTAAAATTTGCCTCCGGTTCCGGCCCCCGTACGTCCCGAAACTCGCAGGGACCGGAACACGGAAGCCAGGTGCCGGCATGGGCCGGAGGAGATGGCCGGGGACACTGCAGGGGGACACATCGCGGGAGCGCAGGACAAGGTAAGCGCTGCAGGGAATCCCTGAGCAACGCCGCATGATAAGCCCGAGTGTAGCTCGGGGGGGGGTTACCGCTTGTGGTACTGAAATTTTACCCCAAGCTACACTCAGGAATACCTCCAGGGGGTTAAAGAAGCCTATCCTGCATCTACCTAGTAAACCTTCATTTATTTCCTCCATTAGCTCATCCCCCCCACAGTTATTACCTCTTGTATCACTCAACCCTTCCTCCTAGATCAGCAATGGGCAAACTACGGCCCGGCGGACCTTTTAATCCGGCCCGCGGAGCTAGGTGTAGCATGAAAATCTGTCTCCTATGAGGATCCGTCCCCCTCGAATGCCTGAAACTGGCACATGCGCAGATACGTCGAGGGGGACAGATCCTCATAGGAGACAGATTTTCATGCTACACCGGAACGGCGCGGGAACACGGCGAGAGGAACGCGCGGAGCAAAGGTAAGTGAATTGACACAGGGAGGACTTGGGGACCTAATATGGGGGATGAATTAATATGGGGAATGAATTACTATGGGGGATGAATTACTATATGGGGGATGAATTACTATATGGGGGATGAATTACTATATGGGGGATGAATTACTATGGGGATGAATTACTATGGGGGATGAATTACTATGGGGGATGAATTACTATAAGGGGGATGAATTACTATATGGGGGATGAATTGCTATGGGGGATGAATTACTATATGGGGGATGAATTACTATATGAGGGATGAATTGCTATGGGGGATGAATTACTATATGGGGGATGAATTGCTATGGGGGATCAATTACTATATGGGGGATGAATTACTATATGGGGGATGAATTACTATATGGGGGATGAATTACTATATGGGGGATGAATTACTATATGGGGGATGAATTGCTATATGGGGGATGAATTGCTATGGGGGATGAATTACTATATGGGGGATGAATTGCTATGGGGGATGAATTACTATATGGGGGATGAATTACTATATGGGGGATGAATTACTATGGGGGATGAATTACTATGGGGGATGAATTACTATGGGGGATGAATTACTATATGGGGGATGAATTACTATGGGGGATGAATTACTATATGGGGGATGAATTACTATGCTTACTATGGGGGAATATTACTATACTTACTATGGATGACACATACACATCATTCATCTACTCTTGGTCCGGCCCCCGGGTCCAATATATATGAACCCATTGTGGCCCTCGAGTCAAAAAGTTTGCCCACCCCTGTCCTAGATTGTAAGCTCCCAGGATCAGGGCTCTCTGATTCCACTTGTACCAAATTGTATTGTAACTGTAATGTCTGCCTTCATTTTGTAAAGCGCTTTGCAAACTGTTGGCGCTATATAATTCCTGTATAATAATAATAATGTGATATTGTTTATCCCTTATAATAGCAATAAAGTTATAGAGAGATATACATCGCCAACCTCATCCATAGATATCGCCCGCTCCGCTCCTCCAAAGATATCCTCCTCTCTAGCTCCCCCTCATCACCTCCTCCCACGCTCACCTCCAGAACGTCTCCAGAGCCTCTCCCATTCTCTGGAACTCCCTACCACAGTATGTCCGGTCAGCCTCACCCTGTCTGCCTTTAGGCGATCTTTGAAAACTCACTTATTCGGGAAAGCCTACCCCACCCCCACCTAAGAACTGTACTTGAATCACCTCCGCCAGATCATCCCCCACAGCTTTTGTATCACCTCCCCCTTCCTTTAGATTGTAAGCTCCACGAGCCGGCCCCTCCTATTCCTTCTGTAATTAAATGTATTGTAATTGTACCGTCTCCCTTATATTGTAAAGCGCTGCACAAACTTTTTTTTATTTTATTTATTTCAGGTACTTATATAGCGCCATCCATTTACGCAGCGCTTTACATATATATTGTGCATTCACATCAGTCCCCCCCCCGAGGAGCGTACAATCTAAGGTCCCTAACTCACATTCATACATACACATACTAGGGCCAATTTAGACAGGAGCCAATTAACCTACCAGCATGTCCTTGGAGTGTGGGAGAGAAAACTGGAGTAGCTGGAGGAAACCCACGCAGGCACAGGGAGAACATGCAAACTCCATGCAGGTGGTGCCGTGCTTGGGAATTGAACCTACGACCCCAGTACTGCCAGGCGGAAGTGCTAACCATTTAGCCACTGTTGGCACTATATAAATCATGAATAATAATAATAATATGCTTTGTTCATAATTCATATCTTTGTTTGGATTTCATGTCTGAGGTTTACAACCACTTTAACTTACAACTGTTGAGGATCTTTGCTTCTCACTAGCTTGTTCACGATGAAAGTGTAGAATGCCATCGACGGCCGGCCACTGCGCAAGTAGAAGAAAAGATCCAGCTGCTCCTGTATGGCGTATTTACTGACCAGCCGCGGGCAGGAGAAGTGGGGAAGCTCCGTACTGCTATCTAAAAACAGAACGTGTGTTATAGTCCGCTGATCTTATCCATGAGTATTTCTACTGAATGGATGACATACCTACCCTGATGCAAAGGGGTTGGTAGGCTGCCACGTGAAGAATTTTGATGGGTGGAAAGGGGGCAGAGACTGTAAGGAACATCGATAACAGCATTATTAGACATCTGAAAACAGGGAAACATTTACAAAGGTATGTACATAGAGTCCGAGGGGTTGACATAGGCACTGCGTGATCGATTAAATAAATGGGACTATTACCCTAGGTTCACATCTGTGCGGGTGGTGCCGCTGCGGATCCGTGAAAATCCGTGCAGCTGCACCACCCGCACAGAGAACTGCGGACCCGCGGGCGGATGCTATTAGTTCTAATGGCACTGGAAAACGCAACCGTACTGGGAACCTTGGCTGCGTTTTCCAAAGAAATTGCAGGGACTTCTTCCCTGCGTGTCACTGGGCACGGGAGTCCATTCAAATGAATGGGCTCTCGTGCCTGTGCAAAATGCTGCCCGCACGACCGCATATATGTGAACCGGGGGTTAGTGATCAATTACGCAGCTTCGACTTCAACACATGCTTCTGTGAAGCTTTGGCAAT